GTCTTGCTAATTTGTTTCCTTTCGTATTTCTTTTCTTTTTTCCTTCCATATCGTCCTTTCGCCTTCCCGTCTTTCCTGCCTTCACTCCTTCCTTGCCTGCCTTCCTGCCTGCCTTCCTTGCCTGCCTTCCTTCCTGCCAGTTTTCCTCCTTGCTTGCTTGTCTGCTTGCTTGCCTCCGCTGTCGGGACATCTCGTCGATGGATTGGTCGTTTGCGTGACTGCTCGACTGCTTTGTAATCTGTCTGCTTGGCTGACGTTTGTAAGTTTGCACATGCGTGACTAGTTTGTATGAGTGTGCCAACCCCAGCTTTGTTCTCCACAAGACCAAAACAAAAACACGACGCCTCAGATTCTACATCAACAACCCAGGCTCATGCACTGGACGGAGCACCCCAGCAACAACACGCAATTAGTCAAACAAGCAGGTAGGCAGCCTTAGTCAGCCAGCTAGCCATAAGGAAGCGATAGACTCGAAAGTCAACTGACAGGCCATCAACATCTCTGTGAGAGGCTGGAGTTCTTAATGTTATTGAAGGCAAGCTTTGTACGGAAGTAAGAAAACACAGGCTTTAGGAAGAATGGAGAGCAACGGGACAAAGAAACAAGGGCGCACGCTAAGGGACAAGAGAGCAATCAAGGAGCCAGCGAGCAAGGAAGCCAGGGAGCAAGGGCGGCAAGGAAGCTGGAGCAAGGAAGCCAGGCAACAAGGAAGGACGGAAGCAAGGAAGGAATACGAAAGGAGGCAGCAAGCAAGGCATCAAGCAAGGCTGCAAGAAGGGCTAGCAGGCAGCTGGGCAAGTGGATAGAGTTGAGAAGGCACATGGAGACCTGCCACGCCCATTGAACTGGTCGGCAAGAAAGGCACCTTCAGCACAAAGCTGAATGATAGGTAGACACATCAATGAGTCAATGAGTCAATGAGCAAAGTGCTGCACAAAAAGGCACTCGGAGCCGGAACATGGTGGCACTGAAGATTTGCACACCTCAACTCCGCAGAAATGAATACATCAGTGAAAGTCAAGCGCAAGATTCATGTACGGCGGCTCAACAAGATTATCAAGATTGCCCCTCGACGACCTTGTATTTGCCCAGGGTTTTACGGGCATAGGATTTTATGTGTTTGCAACACGATGTTCCCAGAACCGAAAGCAGCATTGACCCTTTGGGAGATTGGAGCAGGCCAAGCCCTTGTGTGAGGAAGAAACATATTGTCGGGAGTTGTACACAAAGGCGGATTGTGAGCGGAGTCTGCATTTTGCACAATTCATTTGTAGGATCAGTTCTTCGGGTGGCAAGGTGTCCAGTGCTAGCACCCCCAGGGTGTTGGCTCGCATTCAGCTCCACTTTGGCCCAGGAGCTTGTAAAGCAGGAGATGGAAATTGACCGGCGTCATGATGAGCAGCTGTTAGCCTTGCAGCAGGAGACGCGGGGAATGACTGGTAGAATGGGATAGGAGGTACAATGTGCGAACCACCCGCTAAGGCATGTTTGGGTCATTGGTCGCGGAATCACAAGAGGCGTGCCTCTTTTGCAGGGAAATCATTCAAGATAAGCATAGCTCCAGGCTGGAGGATTTCCCTGCTCAGCACCCATTGGAGGATTGAGGAAGATATTCGAACGAAAGTCCAAGGAATCAACACATACAACTTCCTCCAATCATCCAGCCTGGTCTTATGGCTAGAGTTGCCTTGGTCTCTCATCCTCCCTAAGAACTTTCCCAAAGATGGGTCATGGCAGTTCTCCACGGTCGCTTGCTGCAGGCAGCGATGCGCAGCTTGGTTTGCAGTCCGCCAGTGGGTGACACGTGAATCACTGCGCTTAGTCGTGAGCCACCAGTAGGCTGGGAGTAGGCCCTGTGCTGTGCTCGGAAGCACGTGAATTGTTGAGAGCCCAGCTCAAAGCGACTTTTGACCTTTCGGTTCAAGGTTGGACTCCTGTTTTTGGGATGGGGCCCAATAAAGGACAACCCTTGTTTTACAGGTCCTTTTGAGAAACTGCAAATTTACTTATTTTGCTTGAATTGTGTTGCTGTCCCTGCTGTTTCGCTGTCGTCGGATTGTGCGTTCTCAGAAATGTGTGCTGCTGGGGAACGAGGCCGTTTCCAGGAGTAGTACAGGAACCCGCCAAAGTTAGGGCGCGCTGCCTTTGACTTCATCCTTTTGTCGAGGCCGGAAATTCAACATCACCAAAGAGGCTGGAGAACTTACATTGCAGTACCAGACCAAGGAGACACAGGCGAGGTTGATGAGCTGCAAGACTCACACAGGGGGTGCTGAGCGCGAATCCAAGAATGCAGGAGGATAGCAGTTTGCAGTAGACATATATTGCAGTAGATCGAGTTGCCACAGAATATGCACGTACTTGAGAGAGTTGCTTTGACTTGTGGTGTAAGATCAACTTCTTCGGATCGGCCTGTCCCTACGTGCAGGAAAGGATGCAAATGCTGGATTATGCAGCTGGGCAAACCATGGGCTGTTTGTCGCTTTCCACCAACAGGTTGAGATGGGGAGCAAAGTCTCCATCAAAGTTGGATGCAAGCTACAATACGTGGGAACTAGGTACTCATCAAAGTGGGACGCAGACTAGTCAATGCCTGTTTTTGACGACTTTTGAAGCTTCAGGTATCAGTCATCAGCAAGGCCTAGACAAGAAAGGGCTTGGTTTTCCATGCAGAATGACCACGAGGCCAACGCATGCATGTGTGACACACATGCTTGGTTCCTACAACCTATCAGAGGCAACTTTTTCCGAGGGCCGTGACTCCTCTTGGTGTTGCCGGTCATGCATGCAATTGCCAATTTCGTCCTGCCGGGGCTCCTCACAACACCTCACCTAGGAGCTACATCGCAAGTACTTCGATGCTCAAAGTGGAGGACTGGACTGGACGCAGCAGCAGGCGTCGGCATGTCTGAACTTCACAACTTCGCTCAAAAGACTTCAGTGTTGGCCATCCAGGGCTTGCCAGTAGTGGGGAGCTTGGAATGGATGGTCCCGATCAGATCGCTGCAGTGTCCCCCGGAGCTCTGGGAGCCTTGCCTGCGCCGCCTGACGCGAGAGCGTCGAGTGCCGCGAGCGCTGCGAGCGCCGCGGGCACGCTCTTCGTGGCAGTCCAGGCGCCCGTTTGCACCAGAAATGTCTGGAAGAAAGGGGTCAGCTCCATGTTGGAACATCTTGAAATCTCTCCCAGGAAAGGGCGGCCGGTTTTTGCCGAGGATAATTCCCTGAAGGGGTGTTTCTCCTATCCAGAGGTGGAGTTGCAGTTGACCGCGTCCAAACTATAGCGAGTTTTGGATGTCCGATGCCCTTTAATTGCTTTCCGCAGTGCGCACACAGTGTGCTTGAAACGCTTCCATCCTAGTATTTCATAGATTTTTATCAACTCGTGTTGCCCGCAGCTTGCTTCCCAACCGTTTGGTTGCCATGTTGATTGAGTTTATTCTTTGCGCGAACCGAAGACATGCTTGCATATAATGCAAGCAGCTCAGGCTTAGCAAGTCGACAAGCTACTGGTTTGTGTTTGATTAAGCATCAACAAAAGTACCCTACTGGTTTGTTCACATTGAGGTCCGGTCTTAGAAAGGGTCTGCAGCTGCACACACTGCAGCCATGGATGGAGCTGCGGGCAAGGATGGCGACTGGAATTTGCGCTTCCTGCCACCTTTTCCGGTGTCGTTGTTTGTATTTCAACTTTATTGCCCCTTTTGACCCTTGTTGCCCCTTGCCCCTCATTGCCCCTCGTCTCCCTCGTCCCCCTTGTATGCATCATAGCCCTTGTCCCCCTCGTCTCCCTCCTCCTCTAATGCCCCTTGTGCCCTTTGCCTGCCATTGTGGAACGCGCTTGTCACTCGACGATTTCGCTTCTCGTTCGTCCTTTGAACAGTTGTGGAGGCTGCCTACAATCTCACCAACAAGGACACCGGGCTGCTGGGCGACGTCTCAGATCCCTACGTGATGCTGCGATTGGGAACTCAGGCGCAATTCTGCTGGTAGGTACGGGAACGGGGAACACGTGCCGATAGTTTTTGGGTTCATGAGAGAGCACTGAAATCTGCCCAGTAGTTTTTGTGCTGATAACTTGTGTCACGATTGCTTCGCATAGGCATTTTGCAGGAACGAGGATAGAGAGGGGCGACCTGACTGCCCTGTCGAGGGATCAAAGCTGCTATCGCTAAGGCAAGTTCACTGGCAAGTTCTGCTGACTGCCACTTGCATCGCAATCTCTTAGCTGCAGATGTGTGTCGCCAGGAATTGAGCACTCCAGTTGGAAGCTTAGAGCTTGAATCGGATAAAGCAGCGACCTGAATATATGTTTCATGGCCTGATTTAGAGAAGGCACAGGCGATGCTGACCAGCTTCCAACGCCGAGGTCATCAACAATAACCTGAATCCTGTCTGGGAGGCAGACAACAGGTTCACCTTGTCCGCCTGGCATGCCTTGGGTGTTGTCGTGCCTGCGAGTGCTGAGATTGGAGTTTAAGAGCGTTCCGACTGCAATGTTCGATTGCTGCAGCCTATGCATTGCTTTTGCGATACTGACTTGAGATGTTCCATTTCCTGACTTTGCTTGGTTCACTCAATGTGCATCAGAGCATCAGGGCTCATGTAATCTTTAGCCCTTCAATTCTTCAACAACTCATCACCACATGAGGTTTGGCCAAAATGTCCAGTAGTCTATTGTCAACAGTCAATAGTTTGACTAGATCGAGCATTCCGTGCTAGCCCATGATTGAGATTGGCAGGGGCTGAGAGGCTGTGTTGGCAGTTGCAGTGTTTTACAGCGAACCTCAGCTGTTGACAGATCTAGGAAGACCGAGCACAAAGGAACGAGCGTTCAGGCATCGAACACATGCGAACCTAGGGCGGTGACAAAGGAGGACAAGCTTTTGGAGCTGGAAGTGAAGAACTCGCAGCTGGATCAACTTATGCAGCCACTCTTTGGTTTTGCCCACCGCAGCATTTCCATCGGGGGGGCCTGGAAGGCTAGGGAGGACGGGAGGACCTCCCAAGCCAAAAGACTGCGAACCTCACGGGGCAGGCAGACTGCACGGACTGTATGGTGACTGTATGGTGAGGCATTGGACATCCGTAAGCTTGAATGGAGTGTGTGGTGTGTGGTCCGTCGCAGCCCAAGCTGTCAAATAGGACTTTCGTCAGGGGTTGGTACCTACAACTCGGCAGTTCGTTTTTTTGCCACTTGCAAAGGGATAAAATGCAGCCAAGGAACGTGCTTCGAGATGACAGCCTAGGCTGCTTTGCTTCAACTTCTGGGCTCGAGTCTGTATATGTAAGGTGTGCTTGGTTTCAGAAGCGTTTCACTGTCAAACTTGGGACACGAAGGCATACAAGCGTGCGCAAAGATGAGTGCAGACGCAGCACGGCGCATGAAGACACCCTGAACGATGCACGAAATAATCATGAAGGGAAGGCACTAGAAGACGCATTCCGGGTTGCCTTGGTTTGCAAGACAACCTATTAGTTCCTACCATCATGGGGATGATCATAATGCAGAAAAACAAGAAGAGACAAAGATAACTAAAACTTAAGCTAATAGTTTAAAAAAGCAAAACAACGCGGTTTCTGGAATGGCTGAAGGCATGCTTGAGCTGTATTTTTGCACTGCGGGAGGCATGCACGACCCAGGCAGAACGACCCTGGACTTCCGATCCCTTGCACCCGGCGCTGCTTGACTCAAGTGGCATGTGCACTTCGCTTTTGGACCCACTATTTTGAAGGGAAAGAGTGTGGATTAGGCCAAACTCAAAGGGTGACACTGACGGCGGGACTTAGAGGCCAACGCTCGTCAGGCCTGGCACACGCGCCGAGAGCTCCTACAAGATGGAGACTTGGGCGAGCTCGAGTATGCCGTTTCTTGGCTTCAGGGCATAAACAATAGGCCATATCTATCAAGTTGAAAGCCTTGGACTTTGTTTTCTCAGAACAGTGGATTGTTGACTTGAAAAGTGTTGGCACCCCTTCGTCTTTCAAGGTACACTTCAAGCCAAAGCCTTGACCTGAAGTGAGCGATCGACCATTCGTTCCGCATCATTTGGGCACTGGTATTTGTTGGATCTTCAATGTTTCAAGACTCCAGACGCCTGTGTTGACCGGCAAGCACCTCAGAGCAGTACACAATAACAGTTCCAGTCCCACTGTTTCTGCAACGCGTTGCTGCATAAGAGCACACACGCTGTGATGATAAAGTGCTCGGAGGTGCTACATTGCCGGTCGTTGTTAATGAGCTAGGCAGCATGCTGCGCATCTGTTGTCAGGCACACAGGCAGAGACTGTTTTACCCAACAACGTGTTGACAACTGTTGGCGAGTGTCTGAACTTGACTGTGCCCAACAGAGTGTTGGCTGCTCTCGTCAATGATACCTATGGCGAGCAAAGAATGCGCCGTGCGACAAAAAGTGGCTGATTTTTGCGCCGCGGAAGCAACGCGATTGAAAGTTTGGGAGTTCTTGGTTGTTATGCAGCTGGGCAACAACCCTGAGAGAGCAATCACTGTACAACTGAATGTGTGCAGCTCATGCAACCCGAATGACCTTTCAATGGACCATCAGATTGTGGTGGACCATCTTGACAAACCAGAGGTGCAGAGGACAGACCCATGCTGTTCGGAGGCAGAAGCTCCTGCTGGGGCTTTGTTCACCAAGTTGAAGGAGTCTGGCACTCGGAATCCGACTGACAGCGAGACAATCCCTTGAAGTGGGCCATAATGATGTGCTTTTTCATACCCCCTATTTGGTGCAGACATGCCTCCAGTTTGATGCCTGATGCTCTGGCAAGCCGGACTGCAAAGGCTGACACTTGGACAAACAACGGCAAAAGACCGCAGAAGCAAAATTTGGGTGTTTCTGCAAATAGGGTCCCCTATAGGGCTTCCATTGGCTCTGTTCAAATACCAACCAAAGAGGGTCCACCATTTTGGCAAGCTCCCATCCTTGAACATCTACGTAACAGCCCTGGCTCCTTTCCTGATTGCATTTTCCCCACAAGCTCAGATCGCTGAGGTATGTGCAGAATGGCGCAGACTCACAGGATCTGAGACGGTTTTGGGGGTCGGATCTACGTCGGCGTGCGACCTGCTTCCCGGTACGCGAAGAGCAAGCCGTCTCTTGGAGAGCTGGATCTAAAACTATTGTAAAACAGCAGCCGGCTCAAGTTCTGCGAGCTTCTTCATGTGCAAGTCCGGATTCATTTTGTGCAAGGAGCAGGGCTTCAACAACGTGGCTGAGCCATTAAATTTTTGAACTCTGCGACGAGCTCTCAGTCTTGAGCCTGGCAGGACCTGGCCTTCTACTTCTGCCATTGGCTCACAGACCTTGCAGGGGCTGAGCCATACCCGCAGGAGTCGTTGGTGGGCACAACACAGAAACAGACCGACTCAGACAGCACCTAGGAAATTCCTGGGAAGCATCTAGGATGGGGAGACACTAGCACCCAGGAAGCACCCAGTTGTCAATGGGGAGCTTATCTTTGTCCAAGCTGGCATCGGGCTTGGCATGAAAAGGCTTTGATCCGTTGGCAGCAAAGGAGGATGCCATTCAAGCGGAAGAGCCACATTTGCGGCAGGAAGGCTGCGAGAAGTTCGTGCTGAAGTTCCCTCGCAAGGCTTTTGTGGGGGGGGGGGGGGGGGGGGAGGAGATGATGATCAGGGGTAATTGTCGCGCCCGCATTAGAGCATAGTCATGCAAGAATGCAGGCCCAGTTAAGCATTGCAGCATACTGAGTACACGAGTTAGCTTCAAATTTGCTGTCATCTTCTTTATGTAGGAGTGTTCATGTTGTTTGTTTGTTCTCGAAAATCGATACGGACATCAAAAAGATACTCCAAAACTTGAGAAACAACAACATGAAAAGCGATACAGGACGTCCTAGCGTCGGAATGAGTACACCCCAGACAAGTAATTTTGATGCTGACTCATATCAGCATAAAGAATGCGTAGTGGAATTGCCAGCAGCATACTTTGTTTCGACTTGCTGCATGCCATACTGAGTGGTGAGTGTCAGGAATGTGTGTGCAATACACTTTTATGGCACTTAGGGCCAATTCCATGCCTCAACGTCGTGCTTCAGGTGCTGAGCTCCTTTATCAACTCCTTCAAGATTGTTGGCGAGCTCGCCACGAAGCGCGCCCCGCATATCAGCTGTTGCGTTTGGCAGTTGTTGAGACTCCCCAAAACCTGGAGCTCACACCCAACTTGAAATTGGGGTCTCCTGTCAATGCACCTTGCATTCTTTCTGCTTTCCCTTATGACCACAAGTTGGCATGAGTTTTGGAAGCTTGGCGCAGGGTGGCGTTACCCGCATCTAGGTTGCTGTCACATGTAGCACCCTCTTGAAAATTATTGTGCTTCAAATGAAGACTACCATGACTGCTTCCTCCATGTGGCATTGCATCTTCCTGGCAGGAGCGAATCGCAAGTCTTGCAGGATTACCTGGCGTGGAGCCCCAGTCAAGCACAAGCACGATATTGATGATGATGATGATGATGATGATGATGATGATGATGATGATGATGATGATGATGATGATGATGATGATGATGATGATGATGAGGACGAGGACGACGACGACGACGACGACGACGACGATGATGATGATGATGATGATGAAGACGATGATGATGATGATGATGATGACGACGATGATGATGATGATGATGATATTGCTGCTGCTGCTGCTGCTGCTGCTGCTGCTGCTGATGATTATGCTGATGATGATGCTGTTGCTGCTGCTGCTGCTGATGATTATGCTGCTGATGATTATGCTGCTGATGATGATGTGATGATGCTGATGATGATGCTGATGATGAGATGAACGATGCACCTCTAACGCGTACATGAACATGCCTCGTCCAGAAGTGCAATCGTGTTCCAAGTGAAATTGGTCACTTCCTAGAGACGCCTTGCAGCCATCCCTGCCTGGTTCGAAGCCACGTCTCGCTGCATGTTGTGCGTTCTATGACAATTTGTATGACATGGTACCGAGCTTAAAGGTCCGATGAAGCTACAACCTTTTGCTCTACTCATGGCCGCGTGTGTACAACAACAAGTTCTGACTGACGGGCATATGTTGCCTGGGGGTGCATCTTGCAACCCAGGTGTGGAGATGGACATCCCATCAGCCCTCCTTAGGTGCAGCGGGCAGCCTCAGGGGGTACCACCAGTTTGGCCCATTAACGCTGTTCGGCTGTAGCAATCATAACGGTGGCTGGAAAGCGCAGCTGTCTTGCTGTTCTGCATTGCTTGATGCCACTGGCAAACGACTGATGATGGCATGCCGCACAGAATTTGCAGCTCTCTTTTTGTTTCTTGCCCCAGGTTCCCACTGGCCACGGCAGCATAGCCGCTCTTAGACTAGTGGTGATGGTCGCGAGCCCGGGCGCGGGTGGTCTTGCGATACCAAGGAGCAGCATGCGCGTGAAAGTTTCTGGTGAAGGTGCCTTGTGTATCAGTTCGTTGTGGCAAGTACTTGCTAAACCCCTGACACGATGAGTTGTGAGTTCCCATGTGCTTCCCAACTGTGGAGAGAGAGAGAAAGACAGACACAGAGAGAAAGAGAGAGAGAGAGAGAGAGAGCGAAACACAATGAAGAACAAGAGAGGGTAAGGTGTCGTTTGGAATACAATTTCCAAGGCGCAAGGCGACAGTCCTTCCGTGCTCCGCCCGCTGCCCAGAATTGGGTGTCCAGCTTTTTAGACGACTGTGACAAAGCAGCCCACAAGCGAGCTTATTAGCGGGATGCGTCAAGATCACTTGGTTGACACCTTTCTTTTTTTTTCAAGTGTCGCTGCCTTCCATGATCTCTTGTGCAGCTTTTGCCAAGACATTCTTGCAGGCGCCTTGCAGAGTCTTGCCGCAGAGGAGCGGAGTTGCCTGGGGTTAGCTGGGATAAATAGCCAACACATTTCCGCCGCAAAGTCAACAACATGGCAACGGTTACATTCTTTCAGTCCACTAACGTCCGATACATTGTGCCAACCTTGCCCCTTTTCCGGGATGTTCATGATCTTGCACAAGAGGTAGCATGCAGGGGATCAAATGGGAAGGACTGGGAGGCAGCGATCATTCACTTTGAATCTTTGACTTGTCAGGAAGTCTTCAATCATACTTGCCAGGCTTTGCGTCAGAGTTCTTAGAACCGATGTTTGCCAGGTCCAGCAAGTTGTTTTTTGTTTATTTATTTTTTTGTAAGGTATATGTACAGCTAATTTCTGAGTGCATTTGGATGTTTCCTTCGTCATCAAACAGCGATGGGCTGGGAGTGCGTGCACAGGAATGCAGGAGGTCTATGTTGAATGTGACGTTGTTGTTGCTCAAGTGAAAGGTGGATATGAAATTAGAAGCGTTCTTCCTCACCCTTGCCGCTCGTTGCCTTGAGGTGGGGCTCCGACCCAGGTCATCCCCTGAAGAGCCGCATCAGCTTGCCACCCTGACTTGCGAGTGCTCGTGTGTCTGCCCCGACTGCACTCCCCGAGAAGGGATCCTTTCATTTGGGGCGGGCTTGCTGATTGCTCTTCTGGGGGTTTGGGTTTGGAGCCTGTACAGTAGCCGGCGCCATGAGCAGAGGGACAGTTCGCGACGCAAGGGTCGAGGAACTGTTTGGTATCCGGGTGGGGATGACCTTGGCTAATTTCTATGAGGATGACACAATGTGGCATGAGAGATTGGTGTTGTGGCCTTCCATGGAAGATCGTCATCTCTGGTATATACTCACCCCAGATTTTGATGTTTACCCCGAGCTCTTCAACTTGGATGGTAATACAGGTCCCAATCGAGTCCGCATGAAAGGCACCACCTTTTCTTATTGGTCCCGCTTTTCCGAGCCTACAGATAGGTTTTCAGATGCTGTGGATGACGACGCTTTCAAGAAGTATGTTCAAAAGGCCATTGAGGAGGTCAAGAAGGCTGGGCATTGGGATGACAGTAAGATCCCCCAGATGATGCTCAACTTGAAAGGAGAGGAGGTGGCTACCACAAGCTATCTTGGCCGAATGTTGGTGAACAGGAGGCTGAAGGGAAAGGGTGCCGTCATAGATCCCTCGAATCAAGGCCTGGCCCCGGATAGCTATGCAGGGGGTTTGGAAAGCCAGGTAAAGCCTGTCTGCATGGCCCCCGAGGGTTTCGTGTGGATTTCAGAAGAGAACTGCGGAGGAAGAAGCTTGGGTGAAGAGCTGCCAGTCTTTCCAGGGGCTGGTGTCATGGTCAGTGAGAAACTGGCCCTAGTTAAAGTGGGCCAGGACTGGGTAAAGGGACGTTTGGTGAAGGTGGAAGATGTTCCGGACTACGTTGAGTCCTTGCGGAAGAGGTATGAAGTGCCGACCCCAGTTCTCGCTGAGCTGAGCAAGGCGCTGGGCCCAGAGACTGCAGCTCTTGAAGTGGAGGGCGCCGAAGCAGGCAAATCTCCGGATGATGCTCGCATTTTGGCCGTCGACTACGATGCCCAAGACGAGAGATACAAGGAGTGGAAGGTCGTCTGCCAGGAGTGCGCAGAGTACCCCTTCAAGGACTGGCCGTTGGAGGGGCCAGTGTGCACTCACCACATGCTAAAGCAGATGCAGCGCGCAGGGGGCACGCCAAGGTCTTGGCTTCAGACCTGGGCCCGCTTCAAGCAAATTCCTGAGAATGATCGCATCATGTTTGAAATGCGGACATTGGTGGAGGCAGTGGAGTACGGTGGAACCTATGACCAGTTGAACCTGGCTTCCCTGGCATCTTTTGAGTGCATTTCAAGAAGGATCATGGCAATCGTCGACGCCTTCGGCGCTGGTGGTGCGGGGAACCCTGATTGGGGAGCTGCCAAGATTTTTACTGGGTACAGAGGACCGGAGGACATCGTGATGCCCCAGCTAAAGCAGTGGGCCTCGAAGAAAGGCAAAGAAGAGGCCGAGCTGCACCAAGCTCGCACTAAGATGCGGGAGCTTCGTCGTGGAGTAGTTACTGAAGAAGCCGCAGCAGCTGTTGCCGGGGGAGCTCTGCCTTCAGCTGCAGCCGCGAGGAGACCAGGGAAGAAGGGTGTGGGTCGGGGGCTGCCACCCCCGGCCCAAGAATGATGGAGTTTGCTGACGGCCTGCTTGCCCCGGGAGCAGGCCTGCCCCAACAAAACCGGGACGCTCGAGCGGGCCCATCCTCTCAGGCCCGAGATGTTTTTCCTCTCCCTTGTCCACCAAAGGTGCGCCAAGAGGGTCGCCTCAGCAGACGGAGCCAGCAGAGGTTTTGTCGCAAGGCGAGGATGCAAGATGATATCCGGGAGACCGTGAAAGCGCTCAACTGGATGAATGGCTTTTCACCTTCTTTAGAATTCGGGGGCCAGCCGGATGACATGCAGACGCAAGTCCTCGGCCGGGCCGTGCATTTGACAAAGCTGGCGTGGGGCCCAGGCACTTTGCCCACGGTTCCACCTGAGGAGGCAGCCCTGCGGGAGCTGCTCAAAGGCAGAAGTGAGTATGAGGACTCATCTCTGCCAGTGACTTTGGCGCGCTTCGAGATTGAGCGCATCTCCTTGCCGGAGACGCTGGAAGGCGTCCCCGACGTGGCAGCTTTACTGCCAGCGGAGGCCCGTCAATATTTGGAGTCGCCGGAGCTTATGGTTAGAGACGAAGCCCCTGAGGAGGATCCAGTCAAGCCTTATTGGGACCCCCTGTTGAAGAATAGTAGGAGGAGCTATAAGGCATTAATGCAGAAGCTACACCATATTGGCTACCTGCGGTTCACTTTTTCCCCCAAGGCCCGGGCGGGCCTCTTCTTTGTTCACAAAAGTGACAAGAAGAAGATCCGACTCATTGTGGATGCCAGACCCGCCAACCGAATATTTAGAAGCCCGCCTTCCGTACGACTGTGCACAGCAGAAGGTTTCTCGCGAATAGAGGTGGAGATACCAGCCAATCTGACGCCAGGATCTGAAGCTTATGAGGAGTACTTTCGTGAACGCGGCCTTCACTTTGGGCTGGCAGACGTCAAGGACTGTTTTCACAGGATGCGGCAGCCCCACTGGTTATCCAAATATTTTTGTTGGGATCCTATTCCGGCTTTTTGGATAAAAGGCCTCCCGGGTTCTGAGATCGAGGGAAGAAAGGTCCAGGCTCACGACTATGTCTATCCGATGCCGGCGTCGCTTTGCATGGGGTTTTCTTGGTCGCTTTATTTCGCCCAGCGGGCTAATGAGAACATGATCAGCAAGGTCCCATCTCTGTTCCCATCACAGCTGGTTTCGGACCAAGGACCCCCGGTTGTTTTTGACAGTGAAGGCAACCAAAAGGTGAGGCATTATGTGTATGTCGACAACTTGGGCATCATTTCTCCGCACCGGGCCGTTGTGAAAGACGCTTTGAAACAACTGTCTCCCTGCTTTGATGACAGAGGCTTGGTATTGCACCCAGGCGAGGTACAGCATGAGGATATCAAAGCCCTTGGTTGCAGTATGAGGGGAGATTTGATGGCTACAAGGGTGTCGCCGTCCCGTTTCCTTCGGCTGCGCCAGGCTATCGGGGGAGTTTTGAGAAGGCGGAAGATTTCAGGAAAGCTTTTAGAAATTGTGCTGGGACACATAACCTTTTGTTGTCTTTGCAATCGACAGCTTCTCTGCATTTTCTCTGCTATTTACAAGTTCATACGAAGGCACTACTTTGCCCCAACTGAGCTTTGGAACTCCGTGAGGGTGGAACTGTGGGCTTTCCGCAGTCTCATGATATACCTCCACTCAGACTGGTGGAGGCCTTGGAACCCCCTAGTGTCAGCCTCGGACGCCTCTTTGGAAGGGTACGGTGTCTCCACTTCGTTTTGGGACACTCCTTCCGTTGCAGCCTGCGGTCGTAGGCTCGAGAGGAGCCGCTTTCGCAAAGCAGCATCTACAACGGCGCGAGAGCACGCCCTGACCTCAGCCGGATTTGTAAAGGACAGTCTGACAGAGCAGTGGAGAAGACAAGAGGTTTCAGATGAGGAGCTATTCAGAGCCAGTGGTTGGGAAGTTGCCGAGGAGTTTGAAGAGATTCCAGCAACACACCTTTCCAAAACACTGTGGGAGCCCAAGCTTTGGGGCCGGTGGGGTTATGAAGCTGGTATCCTGGAGTTGGAAGGGAGAGCATTGGTCAAGTCGCTGAGACGGGTTGCTTTGTCCGTTTTCGGTACGGATATTCGACAACTCCTCTTAGTTGATAATATGGCGGTTGCGCTCTCTTTCGATCGTTTCAGATCCAGGAATTACAAGCTGCTGAAGCAGATTCGAGTATTTTCCTCATATTTGTTGGCAAGAAATATTGCTGCCACAGTCCGTTGGATCCCATCGGAATTAAACAACGCGGACGAACCGTCGCGATTTTTTGCCCAAGAGGAAAGCAAACTGCTCACCGACCAGATCCCGGTCACCACAAAGCTGGTACATGTGAACAATGGGCCCGAAACGAGAGCAACACCTTCGGCCCCCCCTCGAGCGGCATCACAAGCCGGCTGTGCAGCAGGACGACCTCAAGGTCACCAAGAAGAAGGATGCTCTCCCGCGGCACAGAGCCACGTTAGAGCGGACCAGTCAACGCCAGGACTTGGAGACCCCCAAAGGTCGGTACCCAAGCAACTTCTCGCTCATGGATGTCGACATATGGACAAACCCCAGGGCGCGCCACTCCAAGAGGCCTCGTTCGCCTTCAGGGAGCTCGACCAGCGCCACGTCGCAGATTGGGGACAGGGGGGCGGCCCTGAAGAAGCGAGCAAAGAGGCAGACCAAGCAGCTTGTCGATGGTGCCATGGAGAGGACGGATCTCACCTTGCTCGAGAAAAAGGCCATCGGGGACAAAAGCCACAAAGTGTACCAACTCGAGCTGGAGGAGTTTCTGAGCTTTGCGCGCCCAAGAGAGCTGAACGTGCAGGACGCCAACGTGCTCGACCGGCTGGTGGTGGAGTACTTCAACAAGATCTACCTCGAGGGCTTCCAGTCCTACCGGGCGGACAGGCTCGCAGCGGCGATCCTCCACTTCTACCCAGAGTATGGAAAGATGGGGG